ATGATTGTCATTTTATTCCCTTTCCAGAAGAATTTAAAATTTTCAGCAGTCTCACCCATTTCTTTTACATACCCATCAATCGACATAATTATGAGTTTTTCAGGGCTTGCAACTACAGGTCTTACATCTTCATTGGATTTTTCATCATTGCGGTTACGTGTCTGCGACAGACTACGCAAATTGATTTTTTCGGTAAAATCCATATTGGTATCAGATAGTACTGGAATATTAAAATATTTTTCCGATTTGATATCTAATATTGCTTGATCAGTAGTATAGGTTTCAGACTTTTTGTACGACTGATATATATTATTTCGCATTAAAGGGTTTATGCAGTTATAAATTTGATATTTATCAAAAAGATTTGTGATGAAATACTCTATTCTTTGAAGCTTTTCCCCTCCATCTTCGGCGACATAATTCGATAAGTTATTTCGTAAATACTGAATTGCGTGAGAAATAATTACTTTGTGATTATCGTTTTCATAATCCTCAGAATTTGTAATTTCTCGCCACATATCGTTAAATGTATCCAAAATGCCAGAGAATATCCCAATAAATTGTTGTAGGCAAATTGTATTCTTATTGCATTCTATTATTTTGGTATGAATAGTATAAAAATCTAAGGACATCACTGAGATCGATACACAAAAATCCTTAACCTTACTGCTCGTACTATATACGACGGAATACTTCATTTCGTTTAATTTCGTTTCGAACATATCATTGTATTTTACATTGTGGTATGGTTGCAATAGTTTCAAAAGACGATTGAAATAAAGAAATTCGTCTATAGACAATATTTTAATTAAAAACTCATGCAAATTGTTTTCGTACTGATTTATGCTAGACATCAACATCAGTCCGGCGGGATATTTTTTAACATAAATGGCGTTTAAGACTTCTTCAATTTTCTTTTTTAATAACATCAAATCATAAATGTCCTTTAAATCAATAATGTTTCTCACTATTCGCGATAGTAAATCGATATGATAAACAACAGACATTGAAAAATTCAGGGACGTTATAAGTAATGACAACTCATCGTAAATCATTGTTACATTTATGTTAGTCCAGATGTTGATCGTAGACTCTAAATTTTTTTTGTGCATTTCAGTCCCGATGTTTTGGTAATCTTCAACTATTTTTAAAATGTTCAAAGTAGATTGGTAAACGATTCTCATTATCGAATCAAGTATAAAATCCATATACAACAGTATATCACTGATTTCGTTCGACTCTTTTACGATTTTGTCCTCTAACGACTCATCGATTTTTATTATGGGTCGTAATTTTTCGATTATTTGAAGAATTATGACGTGAAAATGTGCATACGGACTGTGAGTTGAATACAGTATATCCGAAATCCCGTGTGTCGGACAACCAGTCCAGTAAAGTATATTGTCTATATCTTCTAATATATTTATAATTTCATTCCTCGTGTTTTTGTTCGATATATTCTCTTCGTCTTCATTGCCACCATTATTGTAGTCGTCTAAGGAGCAATTGAAAATAGCGAAACGTTCAATTGTATTCAACTGTGCTGCAATAATTCGTTTATATACATGATCCGCATGGTACTCATTGAGCATTTTCAGGTTAATTGCTTCATGTCTGATACGGATTAATCTATTCAGGTGTATATTTAACGATAACGCTACTGTCAGAAAACCCCCTGGCTCTTGATAAACCAAGTTCGGTACTATAGATGTCATTTCGAGTAGTACTGATATAATTTTCAATACGGTATAGTTAATTTCATCAATTGGGGCATTGCCTATAGGTACTTTTATTACCTTGCCGAATAAACGTTTGAGTGTATCACCGCATTTGCACCCGATTGCAGTGTACATCACACCTGATAATTTGTACCAACCCTTACGGGTATTAATGGCGTCTGTCACTTCTAGCGTGCCATCATTCGTGAAGTCCGTAAACTTTGTTATTCGTTTACCGTTATATATCTCCTGCTGAGCTATGATGTTTGCGCCGATGTTATTTTTGGCAATCCAATATCGCGAATCGAGTATTCTTTGGACTACCCGTAGTTTTTCTTCGTACTCGGTTCCCCTAATGACACTGCTGATACGCTCCGCTCGTACAATAATTGTGCAGACCATAAAGCAAACCACGATGAAATTAATATAATTATTATTCTCGGACATTCTCATTAGAATGATTATTTGAAAAAAAAAATCCAAAAATTTTTTATATTTGAAAGTTACACGCTATAGATTCTTTTTTTAACGTAAGTTCCGATAACTAAAAACGTAGATAATGCGTAGATGAAATCCCCCTAGAGGCCTCCTTATGAGAAAATCGGTTAAAGCACCTACGATCCATCTGTGTTTGCTTTCGAACGTATGTTGTTTTAGTATTTATCGAAAATTATAATTTCTCAATGGGATTTACACTTGACTAAAAAAAATGAGTTAAATTTTCTCTAATAATTTATTAATGTAATTTGAATAATCTACTTCTTACATAATTTAATTCCAATATTTTAACCAAATATAATTACGGCTTCTATTGCCTTCTATGTAAAATGCCAGTAATTGGAGTTAAATATAATTGCAAATTTAACCAAGATTCTAAAATTAATATTTAAATCGAAAGAAATGTAAAAATATATTTTTTTTTTTTCTTTATTGACTATTTAGAAATTTGATCTTTTATGACGCACCGCATTTTACACAACACGATATGGTTACCGATTGGTGACTTGGTAAAATGTAGATACAACGTATTACGGAGATAATTAATATAAAATATCTCACCTAATGATACAACAAAAACTTATTTGATATATAACGACTGTATGGCTGTTGTACGTTATGATATAAATGTTACTTTAATAGTTAGGAATTGTTTACGTAAAACACTACAACTAAGTAAAATAGTCAAATACTTACGTAACCTTATGGATATCTTGCAACATTGCGCTAAAATCTTAGATACAAAGCGTACGGATTGTGTGATCGTATTATACGCCTTCTAATAAACCTATAAATAATTTTGCGATTGCAATTTGACCTATTATCTGTTACGATGATGACGCGATGTGTAGCAGTACACAGATTGACCCGCATTTAAACTAATGTTCGTTTACGTCTAACACAACGATATTGGCTGAAGACAGTGATATTAGAAATTTCCGAAATTGAACCCCTTAAATTTACGTCGTCATCAAACCCCTTTAATACAGTTAGATAATCAGATTTCCTAATTATCAAGCTATCCTAAACTATTCGGTCAGTGGCGCACATTAGTTAATTGTATAGTGATTGAAGTGGTTTTTAGAGGAGTTATATACCGTAGGACGGTTCACCTGTAAGTAAGTCATCTTTATATTATCACAATACGGGAAATAACGTCATAAAAAAAGATAGTAGACATCATCGTAAAACCAATATATTCCTCGTTCAACTTAAAATCTTATAAAATTTAAAATAACAATTATTATTGTGATTCATGGATTTTTTAAACATTCAAGCTGATAACTTGTACTTAGTGGTCAGATAAAAGAAGTTTAGCGTAATGTAGTAGTTTTCTTAGACATATGAGTTAAGGTCAATTTTAAGTGGAAATCGTAAGAATGAAAACATTTTGTGCACTATTATTATTCGATGTACGTGAATATAATTTATGAGCTTTCAAATATTATGAGATTTAAAAACAATTCAGTTGATGTCAACAAAAAAAGTTGAGCATAATATTATAGTATTTTTTTTTTATAATCGTTTTATAGTATAAGAATAATTTCAAATTTCACGAAAATAGTAAATTACGAAATATTTAAACATGCTTAATTTTATCTACACAATCATATTTCGTAACTTTCTCATTTTTTGACCCATAATAGTAGTACACAGTCATGTAGTCAGGAATTTCTTAGGCATAACATCCAATATTGCCTATGTTAATAGTATACAATTTGTTTAAAATGTCAAAATATATATATTTTTATGTTACCATCAATGGTCTAAATTAGGTTATAGTATTTGGCATTAAGTCTATATCGTAAATGCAAATTATTAATAGATATCACCAATGTCTAGGCATTAACTGACAACACAGAAAATAATGTAAAAATCAAATATTTTCAAATACATTTACAACTATTACTAGGAAATTACTTTAATATCTAATACTATTGAACAATTTTGATAATACTTGATTTACTGATTTATTGATTATACATAATTATTTATTTTCACAATTTATTGTACCGTGCCACTTTGAATTGCATAAAAATTTTCTAAACAAATATGAAAATCCAAAAAAAAAAACAGGGGAAAATAGGAAAATGTAGGAAATTTAGATATTAGTTAAAAATATTATGGACTTTTTTCCTGTGGACATTTTTTCTACTAGTAGTTTTGCTCCAATTTATAATGATAGCAATTTTTCTGAAAGGAAATCTGACTTGGAAGGTACATTAGGGTGGCCATTTTTAGATTTTCTCAAGAGTTTCTCGGTAAATGTGAAAAACCAGGAAAAAGCATGGGAAAAACGTAGAAAAAACGAAAAAATTGGTATATTTAACAAATATTATTAAAGAAAATAATTATTGCCTATTTAATTACTTTTACTGTAATATGACAATATATTGTTGACAAAGTATCACTATCAACTAAATATTTTGGTTAGCAATGGTTTATCTTTGCTTTTAGGTATACATTAAAATACTTATATCAGTAACTGCACTTGACTCCATTATTCTAGGACGTCTTTTTATCAATTATATCTAAAACAGTACGGAATTATCTTCATTACCTAGGAAATATTACTTAATGCATCATTACCTGGAAATAATGGACATTAACGTTACTTCCTAGTCAATAGCGTATATTATCTGATATGATTAAAAATGTCGTTGTTGGCTTGGCATATCCGTTAGTTACTTCATTTACGTCTTTGCTAGTAAAATATATTAATATTTTTATTTAAAATTAAATATTAAACGATTTATAGACCATATAAATATAAGAACCATAGAATATAACAAAATTTATATGGCTTAAATAGCCAAAAAAAAATTAAGCAACACAGACAATAACGGATAAGTCTCCTTAGCCCCCTTGGCTACGTTCTTGGTGACAGAAATATCCCGTTTTAACTCTTTTATTTTATATAAATGTTTAAGGTTACGTTTGTACGATTGAGTTTATTAAAATTACTACAAATGGTAAATTATTTTTTCATTCAGAATTAATAACAATTATATTGTAAATTTATAAAACAATTGCTAACTAAGCCCTAATCAGAATAGTCTCAAACTCTCACCATAAGTAGCCCTATTTTCTAAATGAGTTTTGCCATCTCTGTCTTTAGAGTTAGTATCACCGCTGAGAACAGGTTTCAACAGATTTGTTGTTTAAGTGAGCTTTTGACTCGTGCTCGTTAGTCAACTTGTCATTTTGACACCAAAATTTCTTTAAAGTAATACTCGGTATATTTATGGAATTTCTAACATAGGTTTTCTTTGAAAAACAAATGTTGGTATCACCACATGATACTCCTTAAGTATTGTGAAAAATATAAATATTCGAAAATGTCGGCATTAACTCACTTAAATATTCCAAAAATCAGAATTTGAATGTATTCAAAATGTAACCAAAATAATTGGGTGAGCACGCATAGTCAAACTCCCAGTATATTTTAAAAAAACAGATTTTTTACATTTGCCAGATGTTTGCAAAAAACCTAATATTGAACATATTACACTTGTATGATATATAATATATGGTGTTTTACCCACCATATGTGATGTAGGCCGTAAAGTAAACCGAAAAGTAACGAAAAGTAACCAAGTACCTTATCGGGAGTGAATAAATATAACTTACTTTTCTTAAAAGGCTTAATTATCACTATAGATATTATTCGCATAAAATAATAAAATCTAAACTATTACAAATAAAAATACCAAAACCTTGCTTAGAAGTTCCTTGACGTTTTTGGTTCAAGCGTACGTAAAGTTTAAAAAAAAAAAAAGATCATGGCTCTCCCATGAATAAATAAATTCCAAATTTATTATAATTAAGTATACATAAATTTGTATATTATAACAAAATAAATCAACCACAAAAATTATTCATTATCTAAATCTGACGTTACAGAATTAGGTACAAAAGACACATGTAGAGATTCTACTCATAATTTTGTATGTGGAGATTCTACTTATAATTTCGTATATTTATCCATTCGTAAAGTGCTTCTAAGAGCCATGCGACTTTTAAACTAATAGAATGTTACGGTATGACAAAGTGACAAGTAAGCATATACGGTCAAACGCTAACTGAGAGATAGCGACGCATGACCGGAAAACGACAATAAGAACCATTTAAGATAACAATATTAATTTTAAATAAATGTTTTTTTATTATTATAAATAATATATGTTTTATACACTAATTTCTAATGACATCAATGTATTTATGATTTTATTTCCATTTTTAAGAAAAGAAATGTAATAAATGAAACGAAAATTATTTCAAAGTTTTCCAACATAACAATTACGATAAAAATTTTGGAATCTTGGGAAAATTGTTTTGGTTTTTCCATGGTTTAACTTTATTTGAGATCTCAGGGGACTTCTTCGTCAACCATAATGGATATTTGTCAAATTTATCTTGTAAAGATGAATTAAAACTCTGTTCAATTTTCCAATCCAATGTAGGATTTACGTTGAAGACTTTCCACAATTTATTGAAAATGTGATCTAACTTGTTAAGATAATAGTCTGCAGAATTTTCTTTCGGATTAAAACTATTNGTTTTCCAACATAACGATTACGATGAAAATTTTGGAATCTTAGGAAAATTGTTTTGGTTTTTCCATGGTTTGACTTTATTTGAGATCTCAGGGGACTTCTTCGTCAACCATAATGGATATTTGTCAAATTTATCTTGTAAAGATGAATTAAAACTCTGTTCAATTTTCCAATCCAATGTAGGATTTACGTTGAAGACTTTCCACAATTTATTGAAAATGTGATCTAACTTGTTAAGATAATAGTCTGCAGAATTTTCTTTCGGATTAAAACTATCTAATAAAAGAAAAGCACCATTTTCTATTAAATTTTGTTCCAACAGTATACGCAATGAAATATTATCTACTTGTTGATAAACGTTTCCGACACTGGCGATAGTATTAATGATGGGTAAATAGTGATCAGGAAAATCGATGTACCTCAAATTTCTTAAATATATCGAAAACGATTCGTGAACAAGCTCTTCGTAATGCTTTGCCCTCGAAAAATACCGAAGAAAATCGATAATATCATAAAACAACGAAGACACAATCCATTTGTGAAATATGCTTTTGTAATTAACGAAAAAAGACAAATGAAACATGTTCTTTTCGTTAATGTCATCAAATATTTCGATGATTGTCATTTTATTCCCTTTCCAGAAAAAAAAAAAACTTTCAGCGGTCTCACTCATTTCTTTTACATACCCATCGATCGACATAATTATGAGTTTTTCTGGGCTTACAACTACAGGTCTTACACCTTCATTGGATTTTTCATCTTTGCGGTTACGTTTCTGCAAGAGACCTCGCAAATTTTTTTTTTTGGTAGACTTCTTATTGGTAGAAGATAATACTGGAATATTAGAATCAGTCTCCGATTTAATTTCTAAAATTTTTCGATTGGAACTATAGGTTTTCGTTTGTTTGTATGATTGATGTAGATCACTTCGGGTTAACGGGTTTATACAGTTATAAATTATATATTTATCAAAAAGGTTTGTAATAAGGTACTCTATTCGTTGAAGCTTTTCCCCTCCATCTTCGGCGACATAATTCGATAAGTTATTTCGTAAAAACTGAATCGCGTAGGAAATAATTATTTTGTGATTATCGTTTTCATAATTCTCAGAATTTTTAATTACTCGCCACATATCCATAAATGTGTCCAAAATGCCGGAGAATATCCCGATAAATTGTTGTAGACAACTTTTATTCTTATGGCATTCTTTTATTTTTGTATGAATAGTATAAAAATCAACGTACATCAATGTGATCGATTTACAGAACCCCTCAACCTTACTGCTCGTACTATAAACGACGGAATACTTCATTTCGTTTAATTTCGTTTCGAACATATCATTGTATTTTACATTATGGTATGGTTGCAATAGTTTCAAAAGACGATTGAAATAATTAAATTCGTCTATAGACAATATTTTAATTAAAAACTCATGCAAATTAATTTCGTACTGATTTATGCTAGACATCAACATCAGACCGGCGGGATATTTTTTAACATAAATGGCGTTTAAGTTTTCTTCAATTTGCTTTTTTAATAACTTCAAATCATACACGTCCTTCAAATCAATAATGTTTCTCACTATTCGCGATAGTAAATCGATATGATAAACAACAGACATTGAAAAATTCAGGGACGTTATAAGTAAAGACAACTCATCGTAAATCATTGTTACATTTATGTTAGTCCAGATGTTGATCGTAGACTCTAATTTTTTTTTGTGCATTTCAGTCCCGATTTTTTGGTAATCTTCAACTATTTTTAAAATGTTCAAAGTAGATTGGTAAACGATTCTCATTATCGAATCAAGTATAAAATCCATATACAACAGTATATCACTGATTTCGTTTGACTCTTTTACGATTTTGTCCTCTAACGACTCATCGATATTCATTATGGGTCGTAATTTTTTGATTATTTGAATAATTATGACATTAAAATGTGCATGCGGACTGTGAGTTGAATACGATAAATCGGAAATTCCGTTTGTCGGACAACCAGTCCAGTAGAGTATATTGTCTACTTCTCCTAATATATTTATTATTTCTTTCCTCTTGTTTTCGTTCGATATATTCTCTTCGTCTTCATTGCCACCACTATTGTAGTCGTCTAAGGAGCAATTGATAATAGTGAAACGTTCAATTGTATTTAACTGTGCTGCGATAATTCGTTTATATACATGATCCGCACGCCTTACATTGAACTTCCCTAATCTAATTGGTTCTTTTTTGACACGAATTAATCTGTTCAGGTATATATTTAACGATAACGCTACTGTCATAAAACCCCCTGGCTCTTGATAAATCAAATTCGGTACTATAGATGTCATTTCGAGTAGTACTGATATAATTTTCAACACGGTATTATTAATTTCATCAATTGGAGCATTTACTATAGTTACTTTTGTTGCCTTACCGAATAAATGCTTGAGTATATCACCGAGTTTGCACCCGATTGCCGTATACATCACACCTGATAATTTGTACCAAATCTTACGGTTTTTAACGGCGTCCGTCACTTTTAGCGTGCCATCATTCGTGAAGTCTGTAAACTTTGTTATTTGTTTACCGTTATATATCTCCTGCTGAGCTATGATGTTTGCGCCGATGTTATTTTTGACAATCCAATATCGCGAATCAAGTATTCTATGGACTACCCGTTGTTTTTCTTCGAACTCCGTTCCCCTAATGACACTGCTGATACTCTCCGCTCGTAAAATAATTGTGCAGACCATTANGAGTATTTAAAAAAAAAATCCAAAAATTTACGGAATCTATAGCGTATATAGATTCTGTTTTTAACGTAAGTTCCGATAACTAAAAACGTAGATAATGCGTAGATAAAATCCCTCTATAGGTCTCCTTATGAGAAAATCGGTTAAAGCACCTACGATCCATCTGTGTTTGCTTTCGAACGTATGTTGTTTTAGTATTTATCGAAAATTATAATTTCTCAATGGGATTTACACTTGACTAAAAAAAATGAGTTAAATTTTCTCTAATAATTTATTAATGTAATTTGAATAATCTACTTCTTACATAATTTAATTCCAATATTTTAACCAAATATAATTACGGCTTCTATTACCTTCTTTGTAAAATGCCAGTAATTGGAGTTAAATATAATTGCAAATTTAACAAAGATTCTAAAATTAATATTTTAATCGAAAGAAATGTAAAAATATATATATTTTTTTTTTCTTTATTGACTATTTAGAAATTTGATCTTTTATGACGCACCGCATTTTACACAACACGATATGGTTACCGATTGGTGACTTGGTAAAATGTAGGTACAACGTATTACGGAGATAATTAATATAAAATATCTCACCTAATGATACAACAAAAACTTATTTGATATATAACGACTGTATGGCTGTTGTACGTTATGATATAAATGTTACTTTAATAGTTAGGAATTGTTTACGTAAAACACTACAACTAAGTAAAATAGTCAAATACTTACGTAACCTTATGGATATCTTGCAACATTGCGCTAAAATCTTAGATACAAAGCGTACGGATTGTGTGATCGTATTATACGCCTTCTAATAAACCTATAAATAATTTTGCGATTGCAATTTGACCTATTATCTGTTACGATGATGACGCGATGTGAAGCAGTACACAGATTGACCCGCATTTAAACTAATGTTCGTTTACGTCTAACACAACGATATTGGCTGAAGACAGTGATATTAGAAATTTCCGAAATTGAACCCCTTAAATTTACGTCGTCATCAAACCCCTTTAATACAGTTAGATAATCAGATTTCCTAATTATCAAGCTATCCTAAACTATTCGGTCAGTGGCGCACATTAGTTAATTGTATAGTGATTGAAGTGGTTTTTAGGGGGACAATGGTGTGATACTGCTTCCTTTCCTTGGATGATTTTTTCGCGATAGTAATTAATAAAACTTGAATAATTATATTTAGTCTAGTTTATTACTTTATAGCTAATGATTTAGCATATAGTTAAAGTATTACGGGAGGAGTTATATACTGTAGGACGGTTCACCCATAAGTAAGTTATCTTTATATTATCATAATACGAGAAAAAACGTCATAAAAAAAGATAGTAGACATCATCGTAAAACCAATATATTCCTCGTTCAACTCAAAATCTAATAAATTTGAAAATACCAATCATTATATTGATTCATGGATTTTTTTAAACATTCAAGCTGATAACTTATTATTATATTATATATTATTATTATTTTTAAGTATACACAAATTTGTATATTATGACAAAATAAATCAACTACAAAAATTATTCATTATCTAAATCTGACGTTACAGAATTAAGTACAAAAGACTCATGTAGAGATTCTACTCATAATTTTGTACGTAGAGATTCTACATATAATTTCGTATATTTAAGCATTCGTGGTGTGCCTGTACGAACCATGCGACTTTTAAATTAATAGAATGTTACGGTATGAGCAAGTGACAAGTAAGCATATACGGTCAAACGCTAACTGAGAGATAGCGGCGCATGACTGGAAAACGACAATAAGAACCATTTAAGATAAGAATATTAATTTTAAATAAATGTTTTTTTATTATTATAAATAATATATGTTTTATACACTAATTTCTAATGACATCAATGTATTTATGATTTTATTTCCATTTTTAAAAATAGAAATGTAATAAATGAATCGAAAATTACTTTCAAAGTTTTCCAACATAACGATTACGATGAAAATTTTGGAATCTTAGGAAAATTGTTTTGGTTTTTCCATGGTTTGACTTTATTTGAGATCTCAGGGGACTTCTTCGTCAACCATAATGGATATTTGTCAAATTTATCTTGTAAAGATGAATTAAAATTTTGTTCAATTTTCCAATCCAATGTTGGATTTACGTTGAAGACTTTCCACAATATATTGAAAATGTGATCTAACTTGTTAAGATAATAGTCTGCAGAATTTTCTTTCGGATTAAAACTATTTAATGAAAGAAAAGCACCATTTTCTATTAAATATTCTTCCAACAGTACACGCAATGAAATATTATCTACTTGTTGATAAACGTTTCCGACACTGGCGATAGTATTAATGATGGGTAAATAGTGATCGGGAAAATCGATGTANATTGTCATTTTATTCCCTTTCCAGAAAAAAAAAAAACTTTCAGCGGTCTCACTCATTTCTTTTACATACCCATCGATCGACATAATTATGAGTTTTTCTGGGCTTACAACTACAGGTCTTACACCTTCATTGGATTTTTCATCTTTGCGGTTACGTTTCTGCAAGAGACCTCGCAAATTTTTTTTTTTGGTAGACTTCTTATTGGTAGAAGATAATACTGGAATATTAGAATCAGTCTCCGATTTAATTTCTAAAATTTTTCGATTGGAACTATAGGTTTTCGTTTGTTTGTATGATTGATGTAGATCACTTCGGGTTAACGGGTTTATACAGTTATAAATTATATATTTATCAAAAAGGTTTGTAATAAGGTACTCTATTCGTTGAAGCTTTTCCCCTCCATCTTCGGCGACATAATTCGATAAGTTATTTCGTAAAAACTGAATCGCGTAGGAAATAATTATTTTGTGATTATCGTTTTCATAATTCTCAGAATTTTTAATTACTCGCCACATATCCATAAATGTGTCCAAAATGCCGGAGAATATCCCGATAAATTGTTGTAGACAACTTTTATTCTTATGGCATTCTTTTATTTTTGTATGAATAGTATAAAAATCAACGTACATCAATGTGATCGATTTACAGAACCCCTCAACCTTACTGCTCGTACTATAAACGACGGAATACTTCATTTCGTTTAATTTCGTTTCGAACATATCATTGTATTTTACATTATGGTATGGTTGCAATAGTTTCAAAAGACGATTGAAATAATTAAATTCGTCTATAGACAATATTTTAATTAAAAACTCATGCAAATTAATTTCGTACTGATTTATGCTAGACATCAACATCAGACCGGCGGGATATTTTTTAACATAAATGGCGTTTAAGTTTTCTTCAATTTGCTTTTTTAATAACTTCAAATCATACACGTCCTTCAAATCAATTATGTTTCTCACTATTCGCGGTAATAAATCGATATAATAAACAACAGTCATTGAAAAATTCAGGGACGTTATAAGTAAAGACAACTCATCGTAAATCATTGTTACATTTATGTTAGTCCAAATGTTGATCGTAGACTCTAAATTTTTTTTGTGCATTTCAGTCCCGATGTTTTGATAATCTTCAACTATTTTTAAAATGTTCAAAGTAGATTGGTAAACGATTCTCATTATCGAATCAAGTATAAAATCCATATACAACAGTATATCACTGATTTCGTTCGACTCTTTTACGATTTTGTCCTCTAACGACTCATCGATATTCATTATGGGTCGTAATTTTTTGATTATTTGAATAATTATGACATTAAAATGTGCATGCGGACTGTGAGTTGAATACGATAAATCGGAAATTCCGTTTGTCGGACAACCAGTCCAGTAGAGTATATTGTCTACTTCTCCTAATATATTTATTATTTCTTTCCTCTTGTTTTCGTTCGATATATTCTCTTCGTCTTCATTGCCACCACTATTGTAGTCGTCTAAGGAGCAATTGATAATAGTGAAACGTTCAATTGTATTTAACTGTGCTGCGATAATTCGTTTATATACATGATCCGCACGCCTTACATTGAACTTCCCTAATCTAATTGGTTCTTTTTTGACACGAATTAATCTGTTCAGGTATATATTTAACGATAACGCTACTGTCATAAAACCCCCTGGCTCTTGATAAATCAAATTCGTTACTATAGATGTCATTTCGAGTAGTACTGATATAATTTTCAACACGGTATTATTAATTTCATCAATTGGAGCATTTACTATAGTTACTTTTGTTGCCTTACCGAATAAACGCTTGAGTATATCACCGAGTTTGCACCCGATTGCCGTATACATCACACCTGATAATTTGTACCAAATCTTACGGGTATCAACGGCGTCCGTCACTTCAAGCATGCCATCATTCGTGAAGTCCGTAAACTTTTTCATTCGTTTACCGTTATATATCTCCTGCTGAGCTATGATGTTTGCGCCGATGTTATTTTTGACAATCCAATATCGCGAATCAAGTATTCTATGGACTACCCGTTGTTTTTCTTCGAACTCCGTTCCCCTAATGACACTGCTGATACTCTCCGCTCGTAAAATAATTGTGCAGACCATTAAACAAACCACAATGGAAATAATATAATTATTATTCTCTGACATTCTCATTAGAATGAGTATTTAAAAAAAAAATCCAAAAATTTACGGAATCTATAGCGTATATAGATTCTGTTTTTAACGTAAGTTCCGATAACTAAAAACGTAGATAATGCGTAGATAAAATCCCTCTATAGGTCTCCTTATGAGAAAATCGGTTAAAGCACCTACGATCCATCTGTGTTTGCTTTCGAACGTATGTTTTAGTATTTATCGAAAATTATAATTTCTCAATGGGATTTACACTTGACTAAAAAAAATGAGTTAAATTTTCTCTAATAATTTATTAATGTAATTTGAATAATCTACTTCTTACATAATTTAATTCCAATATTTTAACCAAATATAATTACGGCTTCTATTACCTTCTTTGTAAAATGCCAGTAATTGGAGTTAAATATAATTGCAAATTTAACAAAGATTCTAAAATTAATATTTTAATCGAAAGAAATGTAAAAATATATATATTTTTTTTTTCTTTATTGACTATTTAGAAATTTGATTTATTATGACGCACCGCATTTTACACAACACGATATGGTTACCGATTGGTGACTTGGTAAAATGTAGGTACAACGTATTACGGAGATAATTAATATAAAATATCTCACCTAATGATACAACAAAAACTTATTTGATATATAACGACTGTATGGCTGTTGTACGTTATGATATAAATGTTACTTTAATAGTTAGGAATTGTTTACGTAAAACACTACAACTAAGTAAAATAGTCAAATACTTACGTAACCTTATGGATATCTTGCAACATTGCGCTAAAATCTTAGATACAAAGCGTACGGATTGTGTGATCGTATTATACGCCTTCTAATAAACCTATAAATAATTTTGCGATTGCAATTTGACCTATTATCTGTTACGATGATGACGCGATGTGTAGCAGTACACAGATTGACCCGCATTTAAACTAATGTTCGTTTACGTCTAACACAACGATATTGGCTGAAGACAGTGATATTAGAAATTTCCGAAATTGAACCCCTTAAATTTACGTCGTCATCAAACCCCTTTAATACAGTTAGATAATCAGATTTCCTAATTATCAAGCTATCCTAAACTATTCGGTCAGTGGCGCACATTAGTTAATTGTATAGTGATTGAAGTGGTTTTTAGAGGAGTTATATACCGTAGGACGGTTCACCTGTAAGTAAGTCATCTTTATATTATCACAATACGGGAAATAACGTCATAAAAAAAGATAGTAGACATCATCGTAAAACCAATATATTCCTCGTTCAACTTAAAATCTTATAAAATTTAAAATAACAATTATTATTGTGATTCATGGATTTTTTAAACATTCAAGCTGATAACTTGTACTTAGTGGTCAGATAAAAGAAGTTTAGCGTAATGTAGTAGTTTTCTTAGACATATGAGTTAAGGTCAATTTTAAGTGGAAATCGTAAGAATGAAAACATTTTGTGCACTATTATTATTCGATGTACGTGAATATAATTTATGAGCTTTCAAATATTATGAGATTTAAAAACAATTCAGTTGATGTCAACAAAAAAAGTTGAGCATAATATTATAGTATTTTTTTTTTATAATCGTTTTATAGTATAAGAATAATTTCAAATTTCACGAAAATAGTAAATTACGAAATATTTAAACATGCTTAATTTTATCTACACAATCATATTTCGTAACTTTCTCATTTTTTGACCCATAATAGTAGTACACAGTCATGTAGTCAGGAATTTCTTAGGCATAACATCCAATATTGCCTATGTTAATAGTATACAATTTGTTTAAAATGTCAAAATATATATATTTTTATGTTACCATCAATGGTCTAAATTAGGTTATAGTATTTGGCATTAAGTCTATATCGTAAATGCAAATTATTAATAGATATCACCAATGTCTAGGCATTAACTGACAACACAGAAAATAATGTAAAAATCAAATATTTTCAAATACATTTACAACTATTACTAGGAAATTACTTTAATATCTAATACTATTGAACAATTTTGATAATACTTGATTTACTGATTTATTGATTATACATAATTATTTATTTTCACAATTTATTGTACCGTGCCACTTTGAATTGCATAAAAATTTTCTAAACAAATATGAAAATCCAAAAAAAAAAACAGGGGAAAATAGGAAAATGTAGGAAATTTAGATATTAGTTAAAAATATTATGGACTTTTTTCCTGTGGACATTTTTTCTACTAGTAGTTTTGCTCCAATTTATAATGATAGCAATTTTTCTGAAAGGAAATCTGACTTGGAAGGTACATTAGGGTGGCCATTTTTAGATTTTCTCAAGAGTTTCTCGGTAAATGTGAAAAACCAGGAAAAAGCATGGGAAAAACGTAGAAAAAACGAAAAAATTGGTATATTTAACAAATATTATTAAAGAAAATAATTATTGCCTATTTAATTACTTTTACTGTAATATGACAATATATTGTTGACAAAGTATCACTATCAACTAAATATTTTGGTTAGCAATGGTTTATCTTTGCTTTTAGGTATACATTAAAATACTTATNTCAAGGCAAACTAAATTATCTGGTTTGTCACTTGTGTCACATGTTATGCGTGATCGAAATTACCCGATTTGTATATGTACGGAACTCGTAGATAACACAATAGTCTTATTCATTGTTCACTTGATTACCAACATTAACTTGGAGTTCTTCATGATGTCTTTCCTTCTTCAACAGTTCTATAGTTGTTTCACCATCAGCAGGTATTAATATCTTCAAATTGTATGTATTGGTCTAAAATAAAGTATAATTTAAGTACAAATTCAGAAATTAATTATTAATCAATACCTTGTTATTATTCACTACTTACCAACATCAAAATAGACAAAAAAAAATATCCAGAAACTTCTTCCTTTGCCATTCCTCCAAATAACTCACTAAATGATTTCTGTTCACCAACTTTGCTAAAGCGATTTAATATTTGTGTTCCACATTCATGTATATCAAACTCAGTTCCTTTTTCTTCTTCTTCGTCTAAAATTGGACGAAGGTGTTCATGCCAAGCTTGAACTCTTTTGCGCATTTCCAGATGTTCAGTTTCCTGAAATAAGAAATAAAATAAATATTTTACAATGTAATATAAAATTCAACTAACCGTTTCCTCTTCATCTTGTTCATATCTTTTCACATCTTCTAAATTCATACGATATGTAAGGGTATTTTCTCGAACAATTGGATCAGTTTCTGGTTCTTCTGCATCATCCATTCCACACATATAATTATCATCATTATCATCATCAAATTTACCCACATAGACTGGCATCTTAAATTCATTTGACGCAGATTCTTCAAGCTCAGATTTTTGGAAGGCTTCTATACAACAGTAAAACATAAAATTAAATTGGTACATTATTAACTTTTATCGAGAATGTGATAATATGAAACAGGAATTATATGCATTTGCGGGTTTCAAATCAAACAGATTCAATTGGCCAAATGTTATTTTTCATATTCTGAAAAAGCTGAGGTATTCTAATGTATAAATATTTCGTGTCAGGGTGTTTGTGGTTCCACTCTTCCAAAATGGCTCAACGGATTTTAATGAAATATTTTATATATGCAAAAAAAATGTCGCGATTTGTGAAATGACAAAAATGCAATATTTGTATTTATTGGTTTATATAATAGCAAGGATTGGCATTGGGCAAGTTAATAATATTTTTTAACTCAGTTAAGTGAAATATTCAATTAACTAAAAATAACTTTAATTAATAAGTTAAGGTAATATAAAAAACTTGATGAGATATTAAAAATTAAAACACCTAATTGAAATGAAAGCAAATATGAAATATTACCAATGTCTTTATTTTAAATGAACAACAGTCATAAATAAAATATTTTCCTAGATAATATGAAAATTGAAAATTAACCTAATTAGGAATAATAAAAAAATTTAAGTTGATTTCAAGTTGGGCAAATAAGACAAATGAACTAAGTTAATTAAAATAGCAAACTATTAAATTAGGTTAAAAAGTTGAAAATCTGTCGTATTTTTTTTTATAAATTAATATTAATACCAAATTCTTTACTGCCCAATAACTAGTGGCCGCACAAGTTCCCACTATCAGATGATTTTTCTTTTAATTGTTTGTTTTTTTATTTTTTCAATGTTCTTTTACCTAATTCATTTTTAAAAATACTATATTTTTATTATATACAATTAGTTATTTTATTTAGGAGAATCTAAGACGTATCAATTTATCACCATTCATTTGAGCTTGAATTCCTTGGGACGTCGATCCAGCACGGTATACGGGCTCTCGAAGAGCGCCTGAAGCGGAGCGCGATGCGCAGAAAAACATGCGAGACGGTGTCGAGCTGTGACGGCACGAAAACCCGACGAGCAGCGCCGTGACCAGACTCCTTTGTTGGTCGCAGGAGGGAACGGAACGGGCGTGCGGGCTAGGCGGACGTGCCCGCGATCGCTCGGATGGACGAGACGACGAAAACGAATTGCGACGAAGGAATCGGTCAAAATGACGCGTAAGTGTCTCGAGACCATCCTCGAGCCTATCCAACCGACTTCGGCGATCGGGAGAAAAGGTAGTGGCGGATGCGGACGCGGTGTCGATCCGTGACGAACAGGCCTCCGAAACCCGGTCAGCTCGTAACGCGAGCGCGGAGAGAAAAAATTGACCCTAGCAATGTTAACCGTCACGCGGTGTGAGGCAAAGACGGCGTCGGCGTGCATGAACCAATGAGCTGGCGAGTGCTTCCAGAACGCTAGAAGACGGACATTAGCAATGGCAGAGGTATTGCCCTCGATGACGGAAGGGTCGGTAGATTGAGCCAAAGCGACGAAGGCGGATACGATCGGATAAAAACGTCGAGGTCACCAATTTGGCGGGTTACACCAATGCACGAGGTTTATGATAATTAAAAGTAACGTTTATTTACAACAAGAAAAATATGGTTCAAGTGATCGCCAGCTGACGGAAGAATAAGGCGAGCACGCAACAATTAAAACATAAGCTAAGAAAAACAATTATACATTAGGATGGTTCGGAGTCGAGGAAACAATGTTTCGCGAACGGCGTCGGTGCGAAGAACCGGCGTAGCGGTCGAGTAGTCGAGTCGAGCGGAGTTGTGTCGAAAAACCGTTACACCGGCGGCGAGGGGCGTGGCCGACGTCCGCCACGAACGACGCGCAGCGGGAAGGAGAAATGTAGCGCGAAACCCGCCACAATATCATAGATATCATCACCGTTATATCTGCACTTATCTCGTCATCACAAGTCATACCTACGGTTATACTACAAGCTACCTATAAGCAGTGATTCACTATAACCGGTAATTTGTCTTTGGATAGTG